AAATCAAAGTTTATAGTAATAACAATAAAAAGAAAACAAATCTGAAGCTGAAATATTAACCACTTTTAAATAAAAACTAGTGGGGCGCATGGCATCGTGCCTTAAGGCAAATTGTTGGAACTTTCTGTACCAAAAATTTGTTTTTAAAAAGATTAACATTTTTGAAAAAAAATTACTTTGAAAAAATTAGATTTTTGAGAAACTATAAATTTTTGACAAAAATTTACTTTTTTTTGAAAAAAAAAAAGGCTGAAGAGAAGTGTATTTTGAAATATTTTGGAAATTCTAAACTTTTTTCAAAGCAATCGTACTGCTTTAACTGCATAGAGACGACATATCAAAGCGCGTAAGCGCCGCGCCGCCGTCTAACGGATAAGCATTGGTACGGAACCCATAGGAATGTAAACAAAATTTATACTTATTGTTAAAATCTCTTGTTAATTTGATGTGCATATGTCTAATGATCATTTTTGACCGCCAGATGGCATTTTTTTTACTTTTTTTACTAGATCTCCGAAACCGCTAGACCTGCCTTCATGAAAATTTGATCAGTTCTTCATCTTGTTAATATAAATGTTTTTTGAATTCTTCAAATCGGACGCTCCGTTCTCTTAAAAACTGAGTTACCGTTTTTGGCACTTCGCCAAAAACTAATCAGCACGTCTCCTTATCAATACGAATCGAATGTTTTTTGAATTACCCAAATCGCTTCATCCGTGTTCCCGAAATCTTCGACAAAAATTTGTATCCGAACACACATACACACGCACACACATACACACACACATCCATTTTTTCTAAGGTATGCCAAAATATTCAGAAACCTCTGAAACGTAAAGATACATAAAAATTTTCATTTTCGATTTTTTTGCGATTACTATAACTTACCCTACGGGAAGTTAATAATAAAAAGTAACAAATCTGAAGCTAAAAAACTAACCACTTCAAAAATCTATTTTTATACCTTTGACATAAAAATTTGTTGTTGATGAAGGAGATGTGAAAATGACGATTTCTTATTAGAATAAATATTTAAGGGGGTTTTTAGTGTAAAAATTCCAAAAAATAGTTTTTTTGTTTTTTATTCATACTTTCAAAGCTTAACTATTCAAGAATATGTGTACAAAAGGATTTTTTGTAATTGGAATTATTGATAATCCTTTGTTGAATTTTTTTTACGAAATTTTAAACGCGTTGTTCTCAAAACTGTCTTTTTCAATAATATATCTACGATTTTTAGGGTTCTGCTGAGACGATTTACTTGAATTTTTCACAGAATTTTCTCTGAGATATACTAGCCTCACCTCCGAATTTCAATTGTTACCATTGTTAAAAAAAATCGAGAATCTCAAAACAGTAGCAAGAAATTGGTCTTTTCTTTCAAACAATCGCTATTGTCAAAAAAAAGTTTTTTAACGTTATATAATTTTTTTTCGTTTCAGATTATTAGGAGAATTGTAATTCTGTACACTGTCACTTGTCAATAATAATAACTTCAACAAAAGCTAGCTTTTAAAACTATTAACACTGTTTTTTAGTTTTTTTCTGTGCTCGCGTAATATTGATGAATAAATTATTAAAAAAATAATAGTAAAAAAATGCATTGCTTTTTTACGATGATTTAAAAATGACCTAAAATTCTTGCCTCTACACGAGAATACCCCCTTAATACTAAACTATAAAAAATTTAGCATCTGACATTTATTTGGCTTATTCTTTCATATTATATTTAAGCAATTACAGTTCACAAAAGAACCTATTTCATTGAAGTCATTAGGAGCTTAACGATTTTTTTTAACTTGTTTATCTATTACCCCAGGTGCAATGTTTTCAAGGCAGCCAGCACATCTTGGATGTACAACTTTAACCTGCTAGCAGGTTATTCGAAGCAGTACTTGCGCCGTTCAAATACTGTTCCTTTGACACTCGCTCGAAGGAGGTATCCCAGGCCTAGTTTACAACAATTGCAACAAGCTCTGGATGACAGTATCAGCTTTTTGGTAGTCAGACATCCTTTGGAGAGGTTACTAAGTGCGTATAGAGATAAAATGCAATTTGCTTTACCGCATACTTTGCACCAGAAATTGGGAGCAAGGATCATAGTAAAATACCGCAAGCCCAAGGTAAGCACCAAATGTTTAGAAATACGAGGTTGTAACGTTAATATTTTATTTTTTTTAATAATATTTTGTGTTTTATCAGAAAAATGTAAATCCTGGACCGCGTTGGCCAACGTTTTCGGAATTTACAAATTATTTGGTAGATGAAAGAAAAGCTAGAAGACCTTTGGATATGCATTGGACACCAATTACAGAATTCTGTACACCATGTCAACTTAGATTCGATGTGATAGCAAAGGTAGAAACTCTTAAGGTAAGAAATATAAAAAATCAACATAAATACATTACACGTACAAAAAACAATTTTAGCAACTTACAATAAATAATGTTAATTTTATCTTTCAGGACGATCAACAATACCTTATAGAAGAGGCACACCTTCAAAAACTAATATCGCCTCAATGGAAAAATTCTGGTAAAGGCAAAACAACTACACAATTAGTAGCTGAATATTACAGCCAATTAACTAAAAAACAAATAATGCAATTATATGATATTTATAGGTAAGAACAAAGCTTGCTTAAAACTAATATTTAGAGTAAACTAAAAATATCTTTCATTTCCAGGTATGATTTTGAACTATTTAATTATACGTTGACAGGATATATAGAACACGCAATTTCTAAACCTCAAACTGAGTTGCAGATCACTTAAATAAATGAAATTTAGCCAATAACGTGTTCGTCAATTGAAGTTTATCAAGGTCAATATCTTGTAAGCAAAAATAGTATTCTTTTGTAGTCAATTGATAAGTATTGATTAAGTATAATATCGACTTTGATTATACACCGATTACAAGAGAAATTAATTTTCTGGAGGGTTTAATATAGAATCAAAGGATTTCGGCGAACTTATTTAAAGACATGATGATTATAATGATCAATTATTATAAGTTGTTGAAGTAAATATAAATATATTGAAACGTATACGATTAGATTAAATGATAACTTAAAGCGCAGATCAGTAATACATTACTAAATATAAAATAACACCAAAATATCTAACATCGTGTTTAGAAACACTGTCTTGCAATAGAAATGTTAAAAAAGCCATATAAAAATGAAGTAATTTTAAACGACGAGCTACTAGTGCTAAAATATATAGCGCACAAAAATAAAATTTACTCACATAAGTAAAACAAATACCATATCAAAATAGTCGAAGTTTAAAGATTAATAATATTAATCAATTTGTTGATTCACGTAGTAATTTCGAAGAACTACGAAGTTAATTTTTGTAAAATATTGAAGTTTAGTATTTTGTTTGCTGACTTTGGAAATAAACTTTAATTTTTATGGTATCTTAACTTATTATATTTTCCGTGGAATCTATGGAATAATTTATTAATACTCAAAAAATAAATTACTTCCTATATATAAAAGATTCTTATATTCATAAAAGAATATAAAGAAATTTTTGATCGATTAAGTTCATATTAGCAATATTAGACAACTATTATATTTATTTCGAGTATCGGATGTATTTATTGACAAGATTAGATTCGAATAACATTTTGTTACTCTGTGACAAAAAGTACTTCGTAATACTTATCCTTTTGTTTCAATAATAATTTATTTTTAGGAATCCTTTTATAAGAATGTGTTATTATATTATATTAATATATAGACTACAATATATTGTTAAGTTAATTATTTATTATTAGATTATGTATTACTTATATAAGTAGTGAAATGAATGAAATTATATAAGCCAATAAAGGTTAGTTACCCGTAATATTCTATAAATAAATTTTCTTAGATAGAATTATAATTTTTGTTAAGTTTTATATGATAAAATTACATGTTATTTTCATAAAATGTTCAGAACAAATTCCATATAATACAAACATTTGTCGAACATCAAATTTAAGAAAAATGTTCATCAGATATAAATTAGATATAGATATTGATTAGGTTATTTAAATCGATATTTTACTATTAATTAAATTTCGTATTCTTTGCTATAGCCAATGGACCAGTTTTAATTGAAGTGCTTGAAGTATAATTAGCATACAAAATTAGAAAAAAACGCTATAAATTTAAGGTAATATAAACAAATTAGGAAATACGACAACGTAGAATCATTTCATTCAATAATTAGAATAGTGACTAAAACAAATAACTATAAAGATAAATATCAAAGACTTTAAAAACACATTATGCAGAAAAGGTCTTAATTTCAACAAGATAATTGTTTTGTTTTCAATACTTCATGCTTCTCTACATTAACTTAACTATTTTTTCTAATATTAAATTATTATAACAACATGATATACTTGAGGTAATCAGGCAGTATTTTACCTTTTCTTGTCTTTATACCCGATAGTTGCATTTCGAACAAATTTCAACATACTTATTTTAATGATATGATAATCAATAAAAAAAGGCATTATACTTATCATCAGTTAAGCAAAGTTATGTAGATAATGTAAATATTAATTAGTAGTACGTAGCTATTAAAGCGGGTACTAGCGTGATATGGAATTGTTACGAAATAATTATATATTATATTAAAATCCGAAATGTTACGTTATCCAATTACATTAGTTGCATATGGATCTGTTGCACTTGAATTTGTATATATTAAATGATTATATTTAATAAAGTACTCAAATTACAAAATACCATTTTTTTTCATCTACAGTTGAAGTTCTTAATATTTATCAACAATGAAAATATTGAACTAAATGGTTCAGACATATTATTTACGAAATTACGGAAGTTAAGGCATCACTTATAAAGTAATAATATATTTTACAAGATGGCCTTGATTCCCAATATAAAATTTGTTTTAATTAGTACCCCATTGAAAATCCAGTCATAACTGTCATAATTATTTCAATTCTACATCAATTAACGTTGATCTTTAATCAAGTGCAAGATGCCCGAAGCAGCAGGAGGCGGCAAGTTGCCCAAAGCGACACATTATTTCATTCTGCTTGAATTGATAGAGTCTATAGAAATGCACATACTGATATCCCTGAACATCTTATTCCTGAGAAATAAATTGGGCTTCAGCACAATACAGGTTATATCCTTAACACACTCAGCAGATATGATTAATTTATTTTTAGCGCCAATTGGAGCCCTGATAATAGATAGCGGGGGAAATAAATATGTCATAATGATATTGTATTATATTCGAAGTATGATTATTCAGGGATTTGTAGTTTCATCTTCGATTCCTGAATTGCGATATATTGCGGAATATTTGGTATATGCAAGATATTCCGTTGGACTTATTTTAAATATAATTGTATGCAGCGTTATGGCACCATTCCACGGAGATCAATTCAATTTGCCCGATCAAAAAGATGCTTTTAAGAAATTCTTTAGAATTCTTTATATTATGGATAAAATAGGAATAATCGTAGGATTCATTGTAGGTCCTGCAATTAAGACATACATTGGATGTCTAGGCGAACAAGATTGCTATTTTTTTTCATTTAGTATCAGTTTCATCTTAGCTGTTTTAACGCTATTCATATTCTTAATAGGAACAAAGACTTATAACAATATAAAACCCGAAAGAAACATCGCTCTCGACATAATAAAGTGTAGTGGTTACGGATTCGGTCATTGGGTGAAAGAACGGAAAACTAATCCAAAGGAGCATTGGCTAGATCACGCTGAACCAAAATACGGAGCTGAATTAGTCAAAGACATCAAACAATTAGGCAAGATGGTTTTAATTTTCACTGCTGTTCCTTTGTATGAATCCTTATATTGCCAGCTAGATAGTGAATGGTTATTTCAAGCAACAAGATTGGACGGCAGAATTGGATCTTTTACGATTATTCCAGAATATTTTCAATTGATACATCCAATTTTAGGCATAATTATGATACCTTTTCTAACACATTATTTCGATGCCTTTCTAGAGAAGATAAAGATGGACAGAACTTTCAGAAAAATGATTTTCGGCGGCTTAATGACCGTACTTGCTTTCGTCGCTGCTGGATTTTTAGAAACAACAATAAAACAATCAGCTACGCCACATCCTAAAAAGGGCGAAGCTCAAGTACGGATGTATAATAATTTCAACTGCACGTGCATTGTCACTGCATCGAGCCCCCTGCCCCAATTTATACAGATTAACTCACATGGTGCCTTCGAAAATTTACATGTACCCATTAAAGGTAACACAAAAGTTCCAATCTCCCTTAGTGGTGAATGCATTACAAATACAGAGCATGAAATTTCTTTGGAACCAAAATCAGCTACATCAGTGTTTATAACAAATGTGGATGGTGCGCCAACAGTTAACTCGCATACAGCTGAAATAGATTCTCACGCTGATACTGGGTTGCCAGAACTAACAGTAATTGGTGCAAAAAAAGAAGACTCTCTAATAATAAGAGATTCTAAAGATGTGGAAATATATTTAAATGTTGAACCAACAATGGTTGCAGGACAAGCTATAGTCACGGAATCGAATAGAATCGTAGAAGTTGAACCAGAATCTTATGTTTTAGAATTAAACGGAAGAGACATTTATAATTTTGCTATGCACTCTGGCGGAAAATATGCTATCATTATAAGTGAAGATAGTGTAGATTTTTTTACAGTGACAGAGCCAAATAGTGTTCATATGCTCTGGATGATACCTCAAAGCGTATTATTAGTCTTCGGAGAAGTATATTTTGGTATCACACTACATGAATTTACATACAGTGAAGCGCCAAAATCTTTGAAAACTTTTATAAATGCTCTTCTCCATTTTGCAATGGGAATTGGGCACTTATTTTTAGTAACAGTTGTCAATTTTCTACATATGGATTTGGATTACGAATTTTATTTTTTTGCAGCTGTGCTTTTGTTAAACATGTGCTATTTTACTATTTTAGCTTTTTTCTACAAATCTCTACAAACTGACGAAAAATTAATATAATACTAATCCATGAGAAAAATAATATAATTCTATACAAAATGTAACATTTGAACACATAATATACTTTACAAGCTATAATTGCAATATTTTAATTAATATATTGGACAGCAGAATATATATATACTCGTATATATATATATATATATATATATATATATATGTGTGTGTGTATATATATTTAGGAGTAACTAGCAGCCCATTCGTCGAAATAAAAAAATGTAAAAAGTATTTAAAACCTTTCATTTATACGTTTCGAGACTCTCTTCAGAATAGTCGAGTCGTTTGCTTGAAATGGGCGCGTTTCATGCGTCATAATGTTTTACAGTTTATAACTTTTTTCAAAATTGTTTTAATTTATTTTCGTTATTCATCATTTTTATTTTTCCATAAAATTGTTATGATACAATGTTAATTTTCTAAAAAATTTTTGTGTTTTTGTCCTGGTGTTGCTGAATGATGACACGCATCTGGTGTCAAAACATATAAATAAAAGGGTGTAAAAACATATAAATACTTTTTACATTTTAAAAATTTAAGATTAAACTACCACTGACCTTGTAGTATTGCCAAAAACAAATCCTATTACAAGCTTCTGATTGCAGATATATACCCAATTCGTCTTTAAAATTATTAGATAAGTTTTAGTGGAAGAACTTGAATTCTATAATGATTCAATTTTAATTAATTTCATAATATTCAAATTCAAATTGAATCAGATCAAGAGTTCCATAATACTTACATTTGATAAAACTAGATCTTCAAATATTTCTTCCTTTAACTCAATTTGCTTTCTCAAAAGTTTTTGTTTCGATTCGAGCAGATCTTGAGTGAATCTCAAATCATGTTTTAGTTGTTCGAACGTTTCTGTTTGATTATTTAATGATTCCTCACCAATTTCGTCAGTGTATAATTTAAAAATGTCCAATTTATGACTTGACTCATTGTAGTAAAGTTTTAAATTAAACAATACAATTTCATTATGATTATCTTCTGGGACAATATCATATTTTATCACATTCTTATACTTTTTCATCACCTACAGATGATATTTACATTACACACAAAAAGTTTATAATTAATATATAAAATCAAGTTTAGGCTTTAATGCAGGGTATTTATAAATTATATATCAGATATATATTAAAGTAATACTAAGTTACTTATCAGGATTTGCTTACTTGCAATTCATTGCCTAATAATTCGACTATCGTAACTTTATCATTGTTAGATAAAATGAAATACAAGTGTAATTCTTGATGTATCATTACTGGATGTCTATGAAATATAAATGAACAATATAGTAATATAAGTATTAAGATATTTAATTTCTAAATGCACAGTTCAATAAACTCTTATCGAGATTTGTTAAAATTATATATTGGGCATATATATTTACATTAGAATTTGTTCCGCAGGGAAACCAATACAACATCGAGCAAGTGGGAAGCCTTCTTTTAAAACAAGAAAATCACCATTCATCAAGCTTACAACAAAATCAATTTTAGGGTCCTTGTTTTCTACACTTATTATTTTAGGCATAGGTACCATATGAGATACTTTACCGAGAAAAGACTTTGGTAACATATATGTGAAATCATTATCTCTGAATTTAGAAAATGTATCAAAATCGAGTTCTGGAAGAAAATAATTCCAATAATTATAAAATTAATATATTATATTAATTGAATTATATTTTATATAATATACCACTAGAAGTAAAATTTGATTTAGTTATTAAACCATCTGCAAAAACTTGTTCACATGATGTAGAGGATTTAGCACTTATAAATGAATTTTCCAAAGCCCCAATATTAGTCTCTAAAATATTTTCATCTGAATCCATACTAGTTTCAAATATGTTATCATCAGACATGTCAAGATCCATTTTGTGATATTGTTAGTGCACTAATGAAGAACTATTTTAGTTTTAATGATAATTTATAGATTATAACTAATATTTCACCCCACAAAAATCAATTACTTAAAAGCATAACCTTTTCTTTTAAAACTCAACGTGCTTATCTGTCAATTATCTATGACTGAATGACAGCTGAGAGTACCAACCTGCAAACAATTAGTAACGCATCACACAACTATTACCCAAGTGAAGTTGGTCAGTAACGGTTGCAACTTGCGGGGTGCATGGCATCGTGCCTTAAGGCAAATTGCTGGAACTTCCCGTACCCTAATTAAAAATATTGGTACGGAACCATTTTTTGGGTTCCACAGAATGTGCACACATTATTAAAATCTCTATATAATATCTGATTATTTGATGTACATATGTGCAATAAACATTTTTGACCGCAAAATGACATTTTTTAACTTATTTTTATTGAGAGTCCATAACCGCTAGACCTACCTTCCTAAAAATTTAATCAGTTCTTCGTCTTGTCATAACAAGTAAAATGTTTTTTGAATTAGAAAATCGGACGCTCCCTTTTCTTAAAAACTGATTTACCGTTTTTGGCACTTTTTGCCCCCGTATCTTCGGAACGGCTAAACCTATCTTTGCCAAAAACTAATTAGCACGTCTCCTTATCAATACGAATCGAATGTTTTTTGAATTATTCAAATCGGCTGATCGGCGTTCGTCGACGAAAATTTGTATCCGCATACACACACTCACACACATGAATACACACACACAAATACAACAATTTTTCTAAGATATGCCAAAATGTTCAAAAACCTTTGAAACGTAAAGATATATAAAAATGTTCATTTTCGATTTTTTTTGTGATTACTATAACTTACCCTACGGGGAGTTGATAATGCAATAACATCATCATAGATAAATAAACAAAACATCTGGACAATATAATGGTTAAGGCCCTAGACTACATAATGGTTAAGGCTTTTTATTAATCATTACTTCAAAATTTCACACTTTGCAAAGGGACTTGTCCTACAGTAAGGCTTAATGACGAAGTCATAGATCAAACAGTTATAGTCAAATATTTAGATTTACACCTGGATAAAAGACTAACATGGAAAGAACACATTAAGAAAAAGAGGAAGCAGCTTGAAGAAGCCAGAACAAGCTATTATTGGGTCCTCGGACGAAAATCAAAACTTGACACGCATAATAAAATTCACCTCTATACCATCATTAAACCAATTTGGACATACGAGATACAGCTATGGAGATCAACTTCCAACTCAAACGCTTTAATAATTCAAAGATTTCAAAACAAATTATTAAAAGAAATTTTGAAAGCACCAAAGTATGTTCCAAATTGGTTAATACATAAAGAACCAGGCACTAGCATAGTTAAGAATGAAATAATTGGTTTCTCACACAAATATGAAAATCGCCAGTAAACTTGCCCGCCACAAAACTTCAGAACAACTCTACCAGGTCCAAATTGAAAAGAAATTTTTTTCTGCATTAATCAACAATAAATAAGACCTTCGACAAATCACGGGCAATAGTCCTAGCAAACCATCGAAACAACAAAACTTGATCTAACTACATTCTGAAAGTTAAAAAAAATCAAGGCATATGTTGAATCATTTTATTACCTGGGTAATATAATATTAGCTAATATAAAAATATATTAAAGAATTGCAAAATGTAACATTTCAATAATTTATAACAAATATATATTAGTTTTTATAACAAATTAATTTATAAATATAGAATACTTACTGATTTAAAAATAATATTTCATAAGCTAATAAATATATTCTACGTGTTATTTACAGTAATAATTATTATTTACTGAGTTTTTATTATTTAATTAGTAATCTGTGTTCTTTAATCGAAAATGCTACTTAATTTTTTTTATATCTATTTAGATATAATTTTGGTTCTTATATTGCACAGATCCTTATATTGCACAATTTTCTTCCGAGGCAATGATATTGAATCACCTATGCAAAATAAATGCAAGAATTTGTTTTGATAACTTACAAATACCTATAAATGTAATTTTGAATAGTCTCATTTTTACAATAATTTTTTGATAAAGATTTATACAAATCGCAAACTTTTTTAAATGAGAAGTAATTTTAAATAAATATTTTTTAAAAATATGATTACAGCATGTTTTGTTATAAAATATACACTTTACAAATACAGGTACTTCGGAAGCGAGCGGATAATTGTTTAAAACATATCTAAAATAATTTTTATTTACATATAGATGCTTTTACATCGAAAAACTGAAAATAATCTAAATCAATATATTACTATAAATTATTTTTTCTAAATTAAACAGATATATATTATACGCATATATTAATTGCAGCAACCAAAGTATTGCTATTTTTTAAAAATATATTTTATAATAATTTAATATGTGCGCCTACATATTTACATTTCGCACAGCATTTTTACCAAGTTTCAAAAATTATTTATATCTTACACCAATTTTAATTAGTTAATTAATTACATTGCCATAACTATAATATATCAGATATATTATTTATTTATATTTTTATTCATGGTACTAAGACTCATTTTCGTTCACAAGAAAACACGAAATTTCTTAATGTTATCTAAGTATATATTAAAAATAAAGTAAGTTCTCTAAGTATTAAATATCCATGTTATCATATAAAATAACTTTAGAATACAACAATCATTCCGCTCATTTGCACAGTAAATATAAAATATGAACTAATATTACAACATATCTTTTCCAATCAAAATCTAATTGATGGCAACAATGTATAAACTATTTCATAAATAACGTATATATTAAATAATATTTAATAAAGTTAAAAAGATCTTCTCTATATAAAATTAGGATGAACATGTTACTCATATACCTATCACTAGATTGCAGAATATATTAAATCTAGTTTACATTATCAACTTATATTGTAAAGTATTGCACTGCCGGCCTTATATATCACAACTGTGTCTCTTTTTACATACTCCCTGAATTTAGTTTCAAATTTTAAATTTATTATTTCTAAACCGATGTTTTTCACATTTAAACCTTGTTATTTTATTAGTTAAAAAATCAAATAAAGGAGTTTTATATAAAAGAGACATGAAATTGCACGACATATATAAAATCTAAATATAAATTAACTTAAAATAAATATATTTATAAACTTATTTTAATAAGTATTAACTTTATAAATCATGTTAACAAATACAATATTTTTTAAGTAAGATATTACATTTTTTAACATATATTATATAAAAAGCTCTTATTAATTACATTTGGAAATATATTAATATTTAGATATATTGTTATTGATTAATTGACTTAAGGGCAATCACAATGCTTGTAAATACAATAAGCAGAAAAACCTAAATACCTATTGCATATTATTTAATACATTTTTTTTTGAATTGTCGTAAGTATATTAGCCCATTCTTTTGGAAAAGAAAAATTGCTTAAGCTTATTATTAAAGATAAAAAGGCTTTACGATTTTCATACTCAATGAACGAGCGATTCTTTGGATCTTCTACGACTACCACCCGATATAGTCGATTGGTTAGACCGCAAACTTCCTGGATTTTTAACTGTTACTAAACTGCTTTTTCCTCCATCGCTATCGCTATCAGATTGTTGTTGCTTCTTTTTACGGAAGTTTCCAAAAAATACTGAATGGGTTTCGACACTCTCAGCTCCAGATTCGCTCTGGCCATCACAAACTGACTCATCGGTTTCACTAGGGCAAACTCCAATCGTCGTCTTTTTAGCAGAATCATTCGAATCTGTACTAAGATATCCAGAATCTTCAGGTTTATTGGTTCTTGTTTTATTATTTGACATCTCGATTAATTTTTTCCATGTTTTTCCTCTGGAATCTGTAGTTTCCGTTCTGTAAACGAGCTTATCTTGTCCTCCAAGTGAGGGTTTAGTATTTGATTGCAACAGGAAATTTCGAAGGACTGACTTGTGCTTAGAGTCTGACTCTTCAACTCGTCTTGGAGGTTTGGGGCGTTGGTAAATTGGCGATTCTTGATCTTGAGATGGAATAACATCAGGTGCTTTGGGTTTAGCGGGTAGAGTTGGTTGTTCACTTCGCCTTTGACGTCGACTATGACGTTCCTCCAGCGTTAATATGCGGCCTTCAGCATAGCAATCAAGACTACGTGTCGAACCCTGTATTTTAATAGATAATTAAATAAATTTGTTTTAATAGTAAATATTGATAAAAAAAATTATATGAAATACATCAAATCATTAAAACTCTAATCTGCACAGTTATCTATTTTACCTTAAAATCCACAGCACTCAAGCAAGGTCGGGTGTAGACTCTCGTAGATGATCTCGCTTCATAAATTTCTCTTAGCGATCCAAAATTTCTACTTAATTGTGATTTATTTATACAGTCAGCAATGACCGAAGCCCTCGTCAAACTGTCGCTCTTAAAGCTACCCGTAGTTCTTAACAAAATCTGTCCTGACTTTGGCGGAGTAATCTTCTTGGTTGGTTTACGATCTAAAGTATCTGGTTCGAATCCGTCTGTATCCGAAATTTTTCTTAGTGGTGGACAATGTTCGACCTCAATTAATAAATGACCTGGTTCTTTATATTCGATTTTAGCTCGTTTGGTAGAACCATTATCATAAGTGTCGTTAACGTACACCTCGCTAACTAGGCTGTATTCGCTGTCGATAGTTTCATTTCTTATTGTCATTTCTTCTTCCATTGGTAATGCTTGCCTCAAGCTAGGACTTGATTGGGATGAACAATCACCATATTCTACAGGCGTACGCCTACTGGCTCCACGTTCCAAAGAGTCAGCATCATAGTCGACTTTTCTAGGTAAAGTATTACATGATGTACTATCACTTGCAGTCTCGGATAATGGTTTCTTTCTTGTAAGTGTGCCTCTTGGAGAAGAATGATCAGGATTTCGTATCCTGCTTAGGGGAGATTTTACTATTCTGTTGAATGGTGAATGTGATCTTCCTGTTAGCAAATTAGCTCCTCTACCCAATGCTTTACCAGTATCGGTCAGAGCTCTCAAACTCTTTGCTAGAGCCGCGCTTTGATCTTCCTCTTCGCTGGTCAAATTGTCCACTGTTTCAAGCCATTTTTGTATGCTTTGTTGCTTACCGGAGTCGTGGCAAGAATGTGGAGGCAAATTTAAGCGCCTGGGCTCGCAGCCTGGACATCCAGAACAATCGCCGCGTCTTCGAGAGTTTTCACGTTTCAGACTTAAACCGATTGTTCCGGCCGTTGCTTCTTCTTCAGCAATGAGGCCTAAAGATGGCACATAACGTCTCGCATTCATTTTATGTTTTGCTATAGTTATAACCTCACGAATCTTGGTAAGAAACTCGACGGCGGCCGGAGGTGGAGCCTGTTAAATAAAATTTATAAATAATACTTTCAAAAAATATTTTATCAGGAATCAATGTGTAAAAAAATAATATTTTATCATTGAACTTACGCGTAACATTTGCGGTTCAAAATAAGCAGGGTTAAAATATAATTTCCTACGGGCTGTGCCATTTACTATAGCTTTGACAGGATCCACTTTTTCTTCGGGTTCTTCAACGATTGAAACATTTTCTTCCGGAAGACAATCTTCAGCATCTTGCTGTAATTGCTGCATGTGCTGCTGTTGTTGAATTTGCTGTATGCAAGCTTTGTGTATTTGTTTCAAGTCTTGTGCAGGATTAACGTGAGGAGATTGCTAAAATATAGAATTAAATCAAATTAATATAATATTAATTTAAAATATTTTTATCAGGAATAATTTTTATTGTAAAAATTAATAGATATGATATAGACAAAGGTGAGATTATTATTCTGAATATTCAAAATTCAAACAAAAACTCTATTAGCATTAGATTTATAACTGATTTCAACCTGCTGCAAATTTTGTTGAATTTTCGTCGGTGAAGCGGTTCCTGGAGGAGGAGGTGGAGGTGGTCTCGCCTGCGGATGAACAATTGCACCAATCTGCTGCTTCGAATTTCTGCCAATGCTTCCCAAACCCGAGGAACAAACTAAAGGCAACCTCCCAAAATCTGACTCATGCTCGGAAGGCGCTTGACTGGTATCGCTTCGGTAGCTTCCACTATCGCTGATCACCGGAAAATGCCTGGAAAATAGATAGATGTATGTATATAATATATGTATATAATATATCGGGATAATTTATAGGATAACTAATTGCTTGTTAAGTCTTTTTTCAGCAATAAAATACATCTACCCTGAATACATCCACGTAAAATATTTGGAGCTAATTAATTTGTTTTTTTAGAACTACATAAAAGTTACAATATTCCATTGTTATTTCAATCTATTGTTATGAAAATATAAATTGTATATTATTCATTCTTATAAATGAATCATATAAATGTCACACAAAAATTATAATCAAATAAAGCATCCAAGATACAACTTGCGTTCATTCACATTGCTGATCAATCACTTGCTTATGATAATTAGTATAAAAAAATTGAATGTGAAAGTTACAATATGAAGTATGTATTAATTAGGAATTATTGTGAATTTTATGGAGATATAAGAAATATGTATTAATGGACTTATATGCGGGTATTTCAATTAATTAAGTTATTAATTTATTATTATCAAATACCTTGTGGATAGTCCCAAAAGTGGGTTATTTTTAATAACAGATTTATCTAAATGATGCGATAGTGGCTGAACTTGTTGTATTTGCTGCTGGTGTTGCTGCTCGATTTCCTCTTCCTTCTTTTGCCTTCTACGTTTTAGATGTAAATAAAGAAAAACTGATGCCACGTAGATAGAGCCTAGTAAAACCGAACTGATTCCTATGGCTATGTACTCGTCCATGCCCAGTCCTGCACCACTAACTGCTGCTTCCGTGGAACGAGCATCAGGAGCGAATACCACTTCGCTCACATCTGGAAAGGATATATGTTAAATAATTCAGTTTAATAAAAAAACTAGAGTTTGAATTGAAAGCTACAAAATGGTCAAGTTTTTAGATCTTAATGGAAGAATTTGTTCTAATTTATTACTTACTTGTGATATGTTTTGCAGGCGTGCCCACAACTCGAAAAGCTACGCAAGGTGTGAAAATTTCTCCAGTTGTCGGAGTTGGAGCATTGTCTTTCCGAGGAGCAGTGTCTCTACACATCAAATTCACAAGAACCAACCTACCTTCTAATCTAGAACGAAGATCTGATTCACCAAGCCACTGAAATCATACAGAAATAAATTTTACTTGCTGATCAGCAAAAACTAAAAAACAAAAAATATTTATGAATTATAAAATTATAAATATTTATTGCTATATTATGAAGTACTTTTGTTATAACTCATTTCATTTTTTAACCCGTAAATTGCAAAACCTTTCGACTTTAGAGGTTTTAAGATTTCTTATCCGAAGTATCTGGCTATAACTCTATTGTGTAGTTTTGTAGTCTCTCATAAAAGTTTATCGCTCCAAATAGGTAAGAAATTAATATATAAACATGTATATCATAAAAATGAGGTATATATAAAAAGAATTTTCGATTAAATTCAAATATGAAGTATAGGTAAACATAATATTTAAAAACGTTTTTTACTAGAACCACTTGCTTTTAATTGTATTTTAGTATTTAATGTTTCAAATGTTTACTTTATATCATTTATCCAATATAATTCAATATTCACAATTATAAGACAAGAGTATACATTTAAGTCTATGGCTGAAACGAATGATGTCTCTATTCTTCGGCATAGTAGTTACATTGGATGGTAATGATTACATGTTAGATAAAGTGTATATTTTGCTAACACAACTATTAATCAATAGAGCAAACAAAAGAGTTATAGTCAGAGCCGTGATCTTTGCCACAAGAAATCTTACAATAATCTCATAATAAATTATTTCATGCAGCGCGTGCTTGTTCGCTAATCGACAGCTGCATGGAGTCATAAAGACATGTCGTGTAATTGATAGATCTAATAATGTTTTAGTTGATATAATTTAGAAAACTATTCGTAAAGATAGGTTTAAATTGTTCAGAGGCTAAAGGATGATGTTTGAATTATTTATGGCAGCTTATGACTGTTTAAATTGATCAAATTAGCACTAAAGCACAACAAGGCGAGGACGAGTCGTCCACCAATTTCAATTTTGGAAATAAAATTACTACTTTTTCTAAAATAAAATAAAATTCAGAAAATGATTTAAAGCTGATCAGCTTTAATAAAATGAATAAGAGATACAACAATTTCTTTTTCCAGTATAAATTTTAACCTGTAAATATGTCCTTCCATCATCTCGAAAAAGTCTAAATGGAACATCCATGTCCAAAGGATTTCTGACCTCATTCCATCCTGTACGCGACAAATATTGAGCACCTGCTACAGCGCAAATTGCTGTTTGAATACCTGAGAGAAAAAACAATTCAATTTATTCACTAGATCCATTAAAATGTGGTTCGATTCTAAAAAAAAGCTTTCAATGTAAAATGTAAGAGGATAGGTCAATCTGAAGAAAGATATCATATGAATAACCCATAAATTTTTACAAAAGCATATTAATGAAAATGAAACTATAGAAGAGTTGCTTTATATCATATATGATTTTTGATGACTTAGTTATATTTTCATAACTGGCTTAAGTTAAGTTGAACACTACCGTTCTTCAAACTATCACTGAATAGCTGTAGTTACTTTTTTATCCCTCTTAAATCTTTCTCTTGTTTCATTTACCAAATGCATGTATCCCTTTTTTCGATACTAAGACATGTTATCATCACATCGTTTCAAAATTTATATGTTTTCGAGAATGATTGAAACCTTACCCGCAATTATTGATCGTACAAGATGCTTTTCGAACGAGTAAATACTAAAATCCGTCCAACAAGTATGAGAACATTATATTAATGTTTTACATGGTGATTCTGACTTATTCTTTCCGAAGGCGTTGAAAAAGATTTCAACAAATATTTACATACAGAACGATTTATGAACCATCGATTTCATGTTAAACTGGATTTAAAACTCAGAGCAACCAGAACTGGGAGGATACAGTTAAAATTTATCGGTACAAAATTGCTGCTCCTGTTATAAGTATATTTTTTAAAATAAAGTTCACAACGTGGAAATTGAGATGTAATTTAATAAGTTTATTTATTATTACATAATTCATTTTCTTATTTTGCTAAAACTTTAAATCATTTTTGTAATAAATTCAGGACCATTAATTTTAGTTTAATAAATAACTGTTATAAAATTTAATTTATATGATTACTGACCTTCGAATCGTATTTCTCTACTGGGATGAACGATTTGCCCTCGAAGAGGCAAGAAAACAAATGGAATCTTTTGAGATGTGGAAGCACTTACAAATGGAGCCAAACTGCATTCTGAAAAAAAAGAAAAATTAATTAAAATCAATTTATAAAATAATTATAATAATATATAAAAATATATTTTATTAAAGCAAATAAACGAAAGGTTAAAATAATATTTAGATAGCGTAGAGCAATACTTTTAAAAGGACCGCAAGTTAAAAGATCCTGCAAAGTATTAATATTCAAAACAAAAGTGTTATTTGTTATTAGTTTTTTTGTTTTGAGCACTTTTATTTAGTTTATGTAATGTGAACATAATTTTTGTGTGAAGGTACGTAATTTAATTGCTTATAACATGCATTGTCATTTTAAGTTAGTTTTAACCATCTTCATGTAAATATGGTAAAAGAACCAATTAAATCTTGACACTGGCAAAGGTGTGAATAATTAGAAAATAGTAAACAAAAAAGTAAATTAATATAAAAAAGCAATTTTACAAAGATGTTGCTCTGCTGATAAATATTTCTGGCAAAATACCAGATCAAGGTTATGGTCTTCGTATGATCATAAATAAGTTTATGAAATTTGTATTGAGCATTAGTTGAATACTTTACCTATTATTTCATAAAATATTTATAAAATCCAAAATTAAAAATTTTAAATTTGCCCTCTGGCTGTCCCTTTTTACCCCGATTATAGGGTTATTTATTAAATTATATACACATACATACTGTAACTCATACATACGGCAAACACATTGTCTGGTTTAAGAGACTTCAGTAGATATTTTTACAAATATTTTATAATTGCTGATGCTGTAATCTATTTAACAATTGCTGTAGGTATATAAACATATAAACGCCATAACATAAAAGAATTCGTGAAGAATTAATTCTTCATTTAGTATTCAACATTAAAAAAAAAATATATTGTATTATATTTCTCACATTTCTTGTTATATTGTAGTTAGAATTTGCAAGAAAAAATTATATTAATAAATATATAATATAAGTATATGATTGATGACTTATGCGAGAAGAGTAAATACAGGGAACTGAAAGCCGAAGCACAAAATTAGATAGCATGGGAGTGGAAGTTTTGTAAGAAAAATGCATAAAAATGAATGAAATGTGATTAATGGTAACAAAATGGTAATGGGAATAATAGACAAGGGAGGGAAAGGGAATCATTGATTTGTGGGGCTCTCAAACCATGGACCTGTCTTAGGGCAAACTACTATTCATTATTATTATTAATATAAATATATTAATCGTCTCACATTTAATGTTACATTTTTTTTGTTATGGATATTCACTAATTTTCAATATGTTTAACAACTTTCCAACTTTCACAACAATAATATACAAGTAACCCTTTCACTAATTACTTTATTATTTTCAGTAATTATTTCACCAAAGAATGTTATATGTTCCTGTCGAATACTTATAATTACTTCGTAATAAAAACATTAAATTATAAATAATTACAATATTATTGAATAATATAAAACTTTTATTACATTTAAAGGCAATACCAATACGTCTAAATGGCGATACTCTCTTCAACAAGAGTGTTTATCCGGTGTTGTTCTGCACATTAATCTGACAGATTGAATTCAGAGTACAAAGTAATTTTTTTACAGCTACGTCCTTTTGGCTAAAGCCGCTTCATCCAGATCAGAAAGATTAAGTGACTTTTTTACAAATTACGAACCCGCCAAAAGAGGAACACTTATTAAATAACTCGGAGGTGATGTACGATAAACTTATGATATATTATTACCTGCCAGTGCATTACTTTAAATTACATTGCGAGCTCTCATTACGATTTATATGAGGCCGTAATATTCTGTCAGGCAGATTAGCCTAAAAGGATAATGGACCGATTTTTTTTACTTAAATACATGATAATGATACCTACATTTTAAGTAAAACAGACGATAGATGATAATATGATACCATATAAATTTTTCTGCGGTTAAGTACTGCATTTAATTTTTCAGTAGAGCACTTTTATTTACCATCATAATCTCAAAAATTGAACAAAATATTTAATCATTTCCCAGTAAACACTCATGTGGAATCTATGTGGATTTCAGATTGCTACCGCCGCTCGGTTTTTACTGGATTATATCTTGGTAATTCATATAGAATAAAATCAGGCTTAAAATTCCGCTGATAAATAGGTCCACCACCAATATCACAAAAACAAGCAAAGTTAGAAATTTGTTAATAATCGGAACCAGAGGGAAGAAGATGTGCTATCTGCCATCACCTTAAATCCATGTTTGAAAATCTATATAAAAAATATTTTCTTTTGTTGCTAATTTTATCGGCACTGTTGGTTAGTTTATAAGACCATAATATATTTTTTAAGTATACATTATTCAATTGTTTTATAAGTCGTATGTTAATTTTAAATTAGATTTAATAGATGTTTTTATATAACCCCTATAATTATTAGATGTCGATGGGGTAAAAAGAACCAACAAACTTTGGCAAAGGCGTAGCTGAAACTCTGCGGATGAATATTTCTGACAAAATATCATTTTATTGTTAAATGAAATTAATAATTCTAAATAGTCTATAAATTGTATTACATAAATATTGTATCAATTAAACTAAAAGATAAAAATTAATTAGATAAGAATAATAATTAATAATTCATTTGCAAATAATAAAATCCTTTTTTTTTCTTTTATTCAAAAGTTATATTAAAGCAGGTAACATATTTTATTAGAAATGTCTAAAGTTAATGACAATGCTTTTATAGTTTTACCATAACTTTTAACATATCTTTATTGATTAAATTCTATTGACAATATCACAGCATGTTTTACTATAAAAATATTGTGGATCACGTATGTGTGAATGTACAGTTTTTACAAACAACGTACTTAATCAAATTACAAAATACATTAAAAAAATCTGATTGTATTTATAATTAATACCAGTGAATTGAATTTTGATCATTGCAGTGATACAGAAATTGTCACAATTGAATTTAACTGAATTCTGATAATTTATCAAGATTTTTTCAACGTGTGTGGTCGAAACTGGAATCACTTATTGGTTCGTTAGTTCTTTTTCTTTTAATGGAGCAATTTATTATCAAAATTCATTAATTGATTTTACGCTCAATTTTATTTTTGATTACTAGCTGGATTTGTATTGGTCGAAAATTAATCAATGACATGATGAAAAATATAAAGCAATCCAATTCTGAATCTGATAGCACATATTATTTATGGATCAAAATGTAATCTCTCGAGTACACAAAAATCGAGGTGTATAAATGCCAAATGCACTGATCAATTTGATTTGAAAACTGAAATGACAATAAGTGATAATTTTCCTCTGTCAGTTATTTATTTTTACTATCATATCATGTTGCATGTTTGTAATATAATAAAAATGTTTATTTTATTCATGTAAAAAAGTTAAAAAAATACTTTATTAATCACTTTTAGGGCTAGCTCTTAGATAAGTGGCTGAAACAACTAGACCTGAATCAGAGATCCCGGTTTCGATCTCGCATAGAGCAGCTTGTTGTCAAGCAGTAGTATCAAGAGTTTTTACTTGGAAATAAAGATTGCAATATATTTTCAAGTGAAATTAGCCCTAATCCGGCATTGCTTCACCAATAAATAGTAGCCCTATTACAGAAATCGTAATAATAATTCATCATACTGAGATGAGATAACTGTTTCGGTTATCATCTGTAAAACCGAGTATTAAGTCTAATTAGTGCAACAGCTTATATGACTCTTAAGTTATGATTGCAGTTCAAAATAAAAAATTAAAATGTAACATATAAAATTATTGGAAATGTGGCCAGTTAAATCGTAATTTTATTAGCTTTTGTAATAACAAGGCGTAAAATTATTTAGCATTTGTGGTGATTAATCTTGCATTCAATAATCAGTTTATCAAATGATGTATTAACCACTTGTAATCCTATGATTGTAATCCTTGTAATTATTAAAAATATTACCAGAATATTTGTAATATCATGGTTTTCTTAATAGTGAAAATAAAGTGTGATAGCATTTGGTTAAATTTGACTAACCAAGGCGTTGAAGAAATAAGTATTTGTAATGCATTTAAATAAACATAAATTAAATCACTTATTCTGGAGATGGACAATATTGAAGCGGTAGTTAATCTCTTGGCGACATTTTAACAAATATTTACAACAACATAATTTTTGTGATTAAGAAATCCCAATCTTGTAAGAGCATTAACAAGAAAATTAAAGAATGTCATCGCCCATGTGAGAACCAGCGTGTGTTAAGAAATGATATGGCAACTGCATTTAATTTTCGCAATGATTTTTAATGACTTTGCCCAAAACATGCCATAACATCCAACACACAATGTTATGGCAACAATTAAAATATCATACCACATATATTAATAAAAAACTTCAACAAGAAAACAAACGCATAAAGATAAACGGAACACGAATCTGCAAATCGACTAAAATTAATTTTGTTTTATTTATTGAAAAATATTTTGGTTTTATAAAAAACACAAATAATGACATATCGATGCTGCAATGTTTCGCCAGTATATTTGATCAATATTTTCCGATGCGGTCAGATAATTTAATATTCGAATTTCATTCCAAAAACAATGACTGCTTCAACAATCCAAATAATAATTTATGCAAAGATCCCGAGTCCAATTTCAATATACTGTGCAGTAAACAGAACATGAACATATATAATTTATAAGGAAACGCCTGCCCTCGTTTGGACGCACACTTCGTTTCAGAACCGGGAAATTGTTTTTAAATTACCGATATCGTTATACTTACCCTGTAATTCGCGATTTTGTTAACAAAAAATGAAGAATTTTTGAAACTGTATCGATGGACATAAAAAATGTGAAGCAATAATAACGGAGGATAATTAATTATTCCAGGAGTTAAATATATGGCTAGGGTTAAATGACACAGTAATGTTACCTGTACAGGTTATCTTAAGCATGTGATCGCATCAATAATAATAGTTTTTAATATTGTATCATTTTTTGAAGACTTAGGGGCCAATTCTGTAGTAAAATAGACCA